TATGTTTCTTTTTAGTCATATAAGATAATTGATATACCATGAAGAAGATAAATGCTACTTTCTTCTATAGAAATAAATAATAATGAAGAATTTTAAATAAAAAAGGTTTTAGACTCAAGGTGGTATTAGAATAGGTTGGAATATCTTGTACATTAGAGCAAATGTGATATTAATAAATTCACATGGAATCCATCTAAAAATCTTGCAAATGTGGTAGAGAAGGTTGATATTTTTTATCAATATCTATCAAAATCAAAATAAAGAACAAGAATTTTTTATTATAAATTAAAGTAGATTCAATGAAAATTCTATTTTTTCTATTATTATCTGTGATTTCTTTACATTTTTGGTATTAAAAAAATTAAAAATATAACAACCAAGAGATCAATTCAAGAACTATTTTTTTAAAGTGACCAAATAAAGTATCAAGATTGTGATAGTCTTTAAGACAACATAATAAAAATAGAGATCTTTTAAAATAATATATATTTTTTGAATAAATAGTGAGATACAACACATTTGATAATATGATCTTAAAAGAAATTTTGAATGTTTTGTGATATTATTGGAGGTTAGAACTATTTTTGATAGTGTTTCAAATGTTTTATTTTTAAAAAGCTATAAAAGTATTAATAATGATTAACTAATAAGGTAATTTTTTTGCCTTGTTATGATATACTATTAATGATTAAAAAGGCCTATCAACTAAATTTAAAGAAAATAAATATTAGAATATATAACTAATATAATTTGTTATATCTTAAACTTCTTCAATATGTAATAATTATTCTTTAAGGATCTTGTTTGTAGAAGGGAGGAAGGGAGAAGATAGAAGAAGTAATGTTATGGATATACTGATTTTAGTAAAATAAAAAGAATTAAACGAAAGTAAATAGAAGTAGATAAATTTGATAATATCTTAAGGATAAGCTTTTTAAAAACTTTGTAAACCTAAATTTAACTTCCTAAGTATGTGTAAGTGATTGATAGATAAAAATTAGGCTAACAAATTGGCCATATATTACTCATATTGGCCACTTATGATACAAATTAGCCATGTGGTATACATATTGGAAACATATATTTTTTAAATTAGACACATATCTTATAACTTTGACATATATTGGATGACCTATAAAATGTCACCATATAACTCTTTAGTTAGATTGTATATATAGAAGATAGAATGAGGCCTTCTTCACTCTTATCAATAAATTTCTTTTGTTCTTGTTTTAATTTAAGAATTTTTAGTTTCTTTGTATTTGGAAAAATCTTTTAAATTTTTATCTTATATTTATTTTTGTTTTGTCTAATTTCACTCTTTGAATACTAATCGAATATGATGCTTCTTTAAATTTATATTATGATTCATATCCTTGAAAATTTCTAAACACTACATGTATTATTTTGGAGTTGTAAATCCAACTTCAAAGTAAGAGCCAAATCCATCCAGAGCCAAATGTCCAATATTGGGCTGATTTTAACATAACAAATGAACATTAAAAAGACAAAAGAATACCTCATTATTGCCTCTATATATACTATTTAAAGAGCTATATGATAATTTTCTATAGGTCTTCCATCATATTATTATTTTGTAATACAACCATTGGATATTATATATATATATATATATATATATATATATATATATACACAAAAAAGAGCTTAATTAAAAATATAGTAATAAATTATATTAAAATAATATCAATAAAATTTAAAAGATAGTAAAAAATATTCAGTATTAATATTTACTTTTTCTAAAAAATAATTTTATTTATTTTATAAGATTTTAGTAATATTTATAAGATATACTTATTATAATTGGAAGTTTATTTAAGTTATTTAAGATTGCCAATAAGATGTTTTTTATGATTTCTAATACAAAAAGTTATTCAATATTGCCAAAAAAGATTTCTTTATGGATTCTTTAGGATCTTTTTAGGATTTCTATTAATATTCTTTATGATTTTTTTAATATTTTTTTATAAATTATTTTATGATTATTTTATGATTTTTTTAAGATTATTTAGAATTTGACTAAGGTTAGATTAAAAAATTTAAGATTCAATTAAGGCTTGTTTAGATTTTTATTAGAATTTTTTGATTCTTTGTTATTGCAAAATACAAGTTGTTTTCTACTCCTAGGTGCCTAGTGTATTCTCAAACAAGATAGCTTGTTTTACAACATAAGTGGTGAATTTGTTATATTCAAGTAGAAAATAATGCATGGATTGTTAAAATACTCAACAAGATGTGTCTATTGCAAGACTATCAATCGTGAGATAGAAAAAACTTTTATGAACCAATGTAAGCTCATAGTCCTTAAATTGCAAAATTAAGTTTTTATTCTTGACTTAATTTATTTAATTCTACATTTTAAAATTAATTACGCAAAAAAAGGATTATTAATTTACAAACTAAGAACAACCTTTTTTCTAGCAAATATTATCAATTAAGTAAGAAATTTTAGTTAAAAGATATCTATTGTGCAAGGTATCATTGTATATACAAGTAGTAATAAAAAATAAATGTTGTCACAATCTACTAAAAAATATGTAGTCTATTTGGATCAAAATCATTAACATTATATCTTTGAAGTTTAAAAAAAATTATATTTCATCATAATACCTTTTAATAAGTACAAATAATAAATTAGTTTTTAGAATATTAAAATTTCTGATTATCTATTATATTTTATTTTAAACTAATGTAGCACATAAATAATGATATTATAGATTTATATTTTTTAAATTTAAAATATCTTTATTATTATAAAATATACTAAAATCTATTTGAAAATAAATAAATAACTAAAGTCTTATTTATGTGATAACATACTAAAAATTTATATCAAAACAAATTAAGCATAATTCTCTTGGCTAAATCTAAACTTGGTAAAATTTGTCCTAAATGCTGCAATTAAGAAAAGTAAGACCTCCTAGAATGTTGACTATTTTAAGGATAGATTTGGAATTAAATATCCATGCTTATAGCTATTTTGACAGATTACATTGCACTTAACATGACAAATATATATATATGTATATATATATATATATATATATATATACATTAAGAATAAGGCCACAACTTACACATTCTCAAACCTCTAATAAAAGTTTTTATTAATATACTATTGTTGATCTTAACATAACCAAAGTATTTTTAGAATTATTCTAAGATAATAAAAAAATCATAGTGGGTAGAAATTGATGATCATTCCTAACCAAAAATAATCACTAACAACTTACACATTATCAAACAAAACTAAAAGAATAAAGTATAAATAAATGACACCTAAAGGAACAAGTTTTGTGAAACTCAACCTACATTTATGTATTTTTTGTATGAGAATTTGATACTTAATTGTGAAGAATAAAATGATTCCACAAAAAAAAATCATCTTCCACACCATTTTTTTATCTGTCGAAATATTAATAGCCTGTGAGGAAATCTAACATGTACTTCATACATTGAAAACCACATGAAGATGTTGAAATATTACGCTTTATGAACTTTTGTGTAAGTTATCGCTAAGAATGTCAGTTAGACATCGCACTGGTTAGTGTCAAGTCAAAAATTAGTACATATTTGTGCAATGTGTCACTACTCAATGGTGAGATATTCCTAGTATTCTAAGACTAACTCTCGGAATACATTGTGACAATGTCGTCTCAAAGTTTCAACTCAGTGAATAAAGGATTTGAACAGAATGAAATGAAATATAACTTCCGTGCAACAATTGTCGTCGACAGTTCAAACACACTGGCTGTTTCTTTCTTCAAAAGAACTCAATAGGCATAATTTGGTGGGTAAATAAAAGCTGAACCTCAACAAATTTCAGGAAGAACCCTATGTCATGGGCTGAAGAAACTATAAGCTTCAGACCAAATTACCTTTTCACAACCACCTGAAACTTTGACACAAGGTGAGAGCTAGACAGTAGTAGTATCAGAGCGACGAAGTGCTTAATATGTCAATGCTTTCAGCACTGAAGACGCTTCTACGGACTAAAGACTACCAAACATTACTACACCCCCAGATAAATGCAACCCAGCGGCCTGGATGACCCCTCTTTACAATGGCGATTACCATAGTACACAACGAACTTGCACTTTTGGATATTATGTGCATGGTTCACTGTTCAGCTACGCTATGAAAGACAGGCTCCTGATTGACCTTGAGACATCCGATTACTTGCTGGCGGTATGAAAGTTGTTTGGTCTAAAGATTCAGGAGCACGCGGAGAGGCAAATTGAAATTCATTCTATGAGCAATTCTGGAGGCGGCAACTAAGAATTCTCCGTGATACAATTAAGTTCCAACCAAATAGAAGCGAATCCTCCGCGATCAACCAAAAACAAAACCGTGAAAGGATGTTTTTAAACAATCTAAAAATTTAGTTGCTGAATGGAGCATACCAAGCGTGTGATACATATTTGTTTCTTCTGGCAGGCTCCCCAGCTCTTCCGATGTTGATCTACATTAACGATGTAATCTCCAAAAAGAATCTCCTCGTGACATACCTGATTCGGCTTCGATGTGGTCTCCACCAATCGCCTCCAAAGCTCCATAAGACACCTGCTCCACACATACTAAAAACCTCACATAACCGTCACCCCATAAAAACAGCAACCCCCAGCTCCAAAAATCATGCACCCACATCCATACCCGAAGAACACTACATCAATGCGACTCACAGAAGCTGATCGTCAAAATGGAAAATTGCGGTCCAACGCAACTATCCCGACATCAAAAATTCTAGTACGAGATGCACGTCCTTATGGGTACCGCTGGCCACGATGAACCCAATAGTGAAAATGCATAAACAAAGTGAAGCCCTCAAAGGTGGGTGAAGATTAATGAAGAAGCCCTAAATAGTTTTGAGTTGAGGGGTGACTGACGTGGATGGCTCATCCACGTCATCATATACTCCAATAAAGTTTTGAGCAAATGGGTAGTGTGAACAACGGGTCGAGTTGAAGGATTTGCTTAACGTGGGTGAAAAATGAACCCACCAGAAGGGTCAAGGAAGAATTCAAAGGGGGACAAAAATCACTTGGTCTGTTTCTAGCTCTCAACCGAACTTCGCTATGGCGCATGGCGTCCTACACGGTCCTCTCACAAGGTAGCCTGCATCGCCGTTGCCAACCTTGGTAAGTGACGGGATGTGAGCCAGCTTTTTCGTGGGGATTTCAGGAGCTATTTGGTCGTTTTTGGGTGTGTTTTGAAGGATTGTGTGTGAGTAGGTGGAATTGGGGGAAGTGGGTTGCGTGAAGGGGGATTGGATTGTTTGTGTTTGGGAGTGATCGAAAGCGTTTTATCGACTTTAAGTTGCTTCGGTGATGCCGTGTGCGTGGATCTTGACTGAGGGTAGTCGATGATGGTTGGGAGTGGGTGCAACTCCTGGAGATGAAGCTCTGGTGTTCGCATTAGTTTTTCACATGGGTTCGATCTCGTAGGGTTGGATTTAGGGTTTTGGTGGATGTGTTCTTGAGTTCTGTTAGCTGATTTATTTTGTTTTTATTTTATAATAATTCCTTTTTGAAGATTTGGGTGTTGTGGTATCTGTTTAGGGCTACATTGATCAATTTAATATAATTTCTCCGTCATTTCATCTGCAGAGGAAGAGAACTTATTGGAGCATTTTCAACCCGATAGCTTTGATGTACGAGAGGACGTCATTTCATCTGCAGAGGAAGAGAACTTATTGGAGCATTTTCAACCCGATAGCTTTGATGTACGAGAGGACGTCATTCCCACTGTGAGTTTGGCATGAATTCGTGGTTAGGTGTACTAGATCTCTGACTTCGCGGCTCAATAGAATTTGTTGCTTACGAGGATTTGGCTGATGCTCGGTTTCGGTGATGTATTGCATCGTAGTCGCTGCAGCTGCTCACTAGTTGAATTGTCTCGAATCTATCAACCAACGAAAGAAATGTTCTCTGCCCGACTCGAAACTACTGGGCATATGTACATTACACGTTGTAGATTTATGTGCTACTCTGCTGCATTCGCTTCGATTTTAAAACCCTCTTAAAGCAGAGTAGTTGATTTTTGAAATCAATAATTATCGTGCAGAGCGGCAGGCACTGTGCACCTGTATGGATTTGCTGTTTGTGTGACTTAAGAGCTGCTGAACTTCACTCTAGGTCTATTAATTGAATAAATGTCATGAAGTCAGGGGTTATCTTCGTTTTAGTGCATTTTTCATCGATTGTTGGATTATGCAGGGATGACGTATCTATTCTTATTGGTTCCTGAACTATTCTAAGGTGGATATGATTGGGTGCAGGTGTGGGGGTTGCTGCCGAGTGACGTTGCTCTCATGGTGATCTTGCAGCTACTGAAGTCTGTAGCAGGTGTTGCACTGGAAGCAATATCTACATTGGAAGCACCCTTTCCTGGATCAATTGAAACTGAAGTCTGAATCTATATATGGTAGTTTAGTTTAGCACAGCTGAAGGGAGGGATATTCCGCTTTCATTAGAAAGCTAACAAGATGTCGGGAGCTGCGTCTGCCATTTTTTTACTGGACATGAAGGGCCGAGTGTTAATATGGAGAGATTATCGCGGCGATGTTTCTTCAGTTCAAGCTGAGCGTGCTTTCGCAAAGCTTATGGATGGAGAGGTATGATTTCTCTAGAACTGCGGTAACAAGAATACAATGAATCTCGCTTTCATCTAACAGGACTATTGAACATCGCAGCATCTAACGGTCACAAGGTTGAAGTGTTATAGACTGAAGCCACTTAGTTGAAGGTCGAAATTTCCTTACGAACATGAGGCGACGGCTAAAATTCTGTAGTCGAAGCAATTCATGCCACGATCCTTGGTGGTCTTTTTCTGAAATTTGCCATTGATCGAGTGTCGTCAATACTGCACTTGTAGCTCGTTGCTTGAATGGACGAGATGAATAATTTATAATCCAGGGAAAGTCAATGAGAAGGGTGTTTTAAACTTCAAGCAAAAATTTGTATTTTACTCTGAACACGAATCATTTTAATAGCCTGAGGTCTAATTTCTGAGACCATTCGATAATCAGAAGTACATTAGTGCTGTTAAGGGTCTTCTCGCCTGCATCTTGAATGTGTTTCCTCTGCAGAATGATCCCGCCTCTCACGATCCAATTTTGTTGGAGAATGGAGTTACTTATCTCTTCATCCAGCATAACAACGTCTATGTCATGACTGCTTCTAGGCAGAATTGCAATGCAGCTAGTCTCCTTCTCTTCCTCCATCGAATTGTAGATGTAAGTGATTTTATTCTTTCCAGAAGATGATTGTATTATGAAGAGTATTGCATGTCGCAATCTGTCTTTACGGGGTGGAGGTTTTCACATTGCGGATATAGTTCAGGTTAAGTTAAAGCATTTGTGATTGGATATGATTTTGGCTAACTGGCTAACAATTGAAACTTAACTTCCAGGTTTTCAAGCACTACTTCGAGGAACTGGAAGAGGAATCGCTACGTGACAATTTTGTTGTTGTTGTAAGTACAAAAAACGTTGAGAATTTCAACATCTATTATTGTTTTTTCTTTGTAAAAGTGGGTTTCTTCGCGTTTTATCCTGCAAGTAAATTCTTGGTCTAACTTTTAATTTGCAGTATGAGCTTCTGGACGAGATGATGGATTTTGGGTACCCCCAATATACGGAAGCTAAAATTCTGAGTGAATTTATCAAGACTGATGCCTATAGAATGGAAGTCACAACGAGGCCTCCAATGGCAGTGACCAATGCAGTATCATGGAGAATGGAAGGCATCAAGTACAAAAAGAACGAGGCAAGCATCTACTGTATTCGATTCTTTGTCGAAAGTTGATAGGGTTGTAGTACTCTTCTCTTGTATGTAAAGATAGTTGTGACATATTTGTCCATCATATGCTGATATACTGCATTAAGCTTTTCAAATCTTATATATGTTTCTTGAAGCTTATTGTTCGTTTTGCTGGAGCTTGAACAGGTCTTCCTTGACGTTGTTGAAAGCGTGAATATTCTGGTCAACAGCAATGGTCAGTTGGTTCGTTCAGATGTTGTTGGTGCTTTAAAAATGCGCACATATTTGAGGTGAGAAACTCTTTCCTAGTTAGGAAACTATCTGCTCGTGTGCAGCACTTCAGTTTGTTATTGACTAGGTTTCGGCTTGAGCTGTGTGGTTAATTAGATTGATGATAACAGTGGAGTCTTTTGTTATCTTCTCCTCTTGCATTATAATTGTCTCAGTTGGTTGCTGTGGTGTGCCTCTAAAAAGCGTACTGTGATACATGCAGTGGTATGCCAGAGTGCAAGCTTGGCCTCAATGACCGTGTTTTGTTGGAAGCTCAAGGTCGTGCTACGAAGGGAAAGGCTATCGATCTTGATGACATCAAATTCCACCAGTAACTTGCATCTTTCCTTACACATAAACATATATTTCTGTGTTCGCCGTTGCTTTAACTCACTGAATTTTGTAGGGATAACGCGTAAAGGTAGTTCAACGTTACCCAAGTGATTGTTGGCTTGGATTAAGCATTTTGTGTTCATGGCACAGTAGGTCTTAAAACTTGATGCTTGAGGATTAGAAACTGTTGTAGGATTCTCTACAAAACCTGTTGGCTTAATTCTCCACATACTATCTTGCCAACTCGGGGTAATTTTTGCAGGTGTGTTCGACTAACCCGATTTGAAAACGATCGGACGATCTCTTTCATCCCTCCAGATGGTTCTTTTGATCTAATGACGTACCGTCTCAGTACACAGGTGTTGCAACTTTAAACTATTGAGTCGATTAAATTAGGCTGCTGTATGATTGTCACTTGAACATATCCTCTTTCAATTCTAGCCTTTTGTTGCTAAATTTAAGTATTGAATGCAATGCTGGCTGCAGGTAAAACCCTTGATTTGGGTGGAGGCTCAAGTAGAGCGACATTCACGAAGTCGTGTAGAGTTTATGATCAAAGCGCGGAGTCAATTTAAGGAACGAAGGTATGTAACACAATCGTGTAGTTGGCTTCTTGATCATATGTCATCATATTTTGGAACACGTAAGGTGTAACTATGGCAATTTTGTGTGATTTTTAAGTCCAGCAATTAATGTGAGATGTTTATTCTTTTTCTTTTTGTGACAGTACGGCTTCCAATGTAGAAATCGAGCTTCCCGTGCCATCTGATGCTTCCACCCCTGCTGTCCGGACGTCCATGGGCACAGCTGTTTATGCTCCAGAGAAGGAGGCTCTAATTTGGAAAATCAAGTCTTTCCCCGGAGGAAAGGTATCATTTGTGTCTTATAATCGGTGGACCACTATGGAACATATCTTATGACTTTCAGTTGGACGGTTCAATTTAGTAAATGATATGCTGAAAGTATTGAGATCAAGTATTTCTACTCTGTGTTATTACGCAAGAACTCATTTCACCTCCTCGGACTGCACAGGAGTACATGATGAGAGCCAAGTTTGGACTACCAAGTATTGAAGCTGAAGAAACTGTGGTCGAGAAGCGACCACCCATTCGAGTCAAGTTTGAGATCCCTTATTTTACTGTTTCTGGAATTCAGGTAACTTCATTTCTGTCATTTCCATCGAGATGTTAACGGTTGTTGGTTCGATTATGGACTTGTTTTTGGTCATGCAATTCTCGCAATTTGCTTAACATAGGATTAGAGATCTGTAGATGTACAGACCATTTAATAGGACACATCTCGAGGATGTTAGCGCCTTCGTATTCAGTATATTGACTGCAACTGTAACCATAAAGGGGCCTTGGACGTTTCAACCTTGAGATTGTTTCTTAATGTTTTAATTCGGTCTCCTAGGTCTTGTTGCTACTCTCTAGGCTTTTCTATTCAACTAAATTTTTTGGTGTGTAATGTCTTGTCTAGGTTCGATACTTGAAGATCATTGAGAAAAGCGGTTATCAGGCTTTGCCATGGGTGCGGTACATAACTACTGCAGGCGAATATGAGTTGCGTATTTAAGCGTACAATCCAATGTCACATATATTCGTTACTTCTTATGTTTACGAAGTCACTGCTTACCAGCCTCTGCGTTAGGGTGTTAGGGTTACTAGACGTGATAAGCTTTCCTTGGATTAGATCAGGACAGCCTTTAGAGTATTTTTGCCTTCAATTCAAGTCTTTCTAGTTCTTTCCAACATTTGTGGAGTTGCTCGCCAAAAAGTATGCCAATGACTTTCACGGATTTCGGTTGTATAAGTATTGGTGCGGTCACTTTTTTCCATGGCCATTGAAAAGCTGCTAAAACAGATGCCAAGCCAAGTGTGATGTTTCAGCAGAGATACTAGTCCATGACAGATTTTACGTAGGCTTAGAACATATGAGGGCAGCTGAACATTAAGAATGCTGCAGATCCTGGCCTCTGGGAGTATTTTATAGAACTTTTAGTTTGCGATATTGGAGAAAGTTTGAAGTTGCAAATACGGCCATTTACCCATACATACAGAGCCGAAACTCATCAACACCTAACGTTCGAGAGAACTTATTTTTCAATTTTATTCCTCAAAAATTCATCGTAAGGTAGTATTAGCAACTGTCCGACGTAAGCTTCCCAAGGCGTTGGCAAGGTCCACTCTCAAACAATTCAAAAATGTCTGATAACTCAGCAGAATCTCTCGTTAACCATGAACAAAATTGAAAGCACAATCTCAGTTTTTTGAGACTCCCCATGCGGGGATTAATGAGTTGGACTTGATCTAGCTACTGGACCATGTAATCTTGTACCGGTATTTGTCTGTGTTAAAAGTTTCTTTAACAATGGCCCATGTTGTTGGTATTTAGCGTCGAGGAGTATGCCCCATTATCTGGCACCGCAAGCGAATCGTAAGATGGCGGGTATGTACACACCGAATGTAGAAACATTTTCAGAGCTATCGCTTGGCTTGCTGCCAAAGCTCGGATGTCTTCTTCACTCGTCTCACTCGCTTGAGCACTGTGTCAGCCTTCAGGTTACCGTAGACTGTCACCTTTCGTTGCCACTGATCACACGTTACGCTATCCACACCTGCACAGATTGACAACCTCTCACCAGTGAGTACACAGTCTCTACAACACTAAAGATCACATGATGACTGATTACAAAACGTTCACCAGGGTTCGATGGAAGGAGACACTTACCATCCATGTGTTCTAAGCAGGCCCTCACTTTCCTTTCGCAATTATCGCAACAGATTGGCACTTTGAGCTCAACAAAGTTCGACTGGCTGCCATATTGCTGCATCGAGGCAAATATGTCAACATGTCAGTCTCCAATTATTGCAGAATTTTGAAATAATATCAATTCTATGGAGGACGCTCTTGATGTCAATTGAAGCCAAAGGATTTCAAATGCAATAACTAACCACGTGCTTGGCGCCCTGCTGGCTAGGCTTGTAAGAACCATCGTCTCTAGGTTGCTGATTCACTCCACCGTGGTTTTGCTGCAACTTAACGTTTCCCTGCATGTGCTGCCCTTTCGAACCCTTTTTAGATGCGCAGTGGCTCTCGTGCTCGTCTGAAGAATCGTCATCGTCGTCATCATGGTAGTGATTGGCACTCTTACTTTGGTTTCCAATCTTCTGCCCTGACTGACTCTTGACACTTGAAGATTCGAAGGAAACCTTCTTGTTACCACCGTTAGATTGCTGGTTATTCGACTTCCCTTGTCCACCAGATGCCGACTTCGAACCACTCGTGTTGTGGTAATTGTCGCAATTTCTGTTGTTGGCGACCATCTCTCCCTTCTGATGTCCGTTCCCCTGCTTGGCAGAACCCTTCACGGCAAACTTGTTGACGTTTTCGTACCCGTCGTCTTCCCCATCCGAGCTCCAATCATCGTTCGTGTACTGTTGCTGCTTTGTGTTGTTCCCATGCATCACATTTCCGTTTCCATTCCCCTGCTTCGTTGCAGTTCCATTCGTGTTCATAGACTTGCCACCTTGTCCTTGGGACTTCGCATGATCTGACCCATTTCCCATGTTCCCGAACTGCTGGTTGCTGGAGCCTTGTGTCTGCTTGCTGCCACTGTGGGTGTTGCTGTAGTTGTTATTGTTGTTGCCGTTATTATTATTGTCGCTGCTGCTATTGTTATGGCTATGGTTGTTATTATTTGTCACGTTTTTGTTGGATTTGTTACGCAAATCCATTTGCCTATACTGATCGTCGCCATTGTTGTTGATGCTTCTGTTGTTGAACTGGCCAACGGGCACTTCGAGCTGCCGGTGCTGCTGTCCGCCTTGGTTGTTGCCAAAACTTGTGTTATCCGTTTGAGCCCTGAGCATCTCCGCATGTCTGTACTGCTCTGCGCCGCTTCTACTCGCCATGTGGTTCATCGGCACCACCATCTGCCTATTCTGCTCGTCCGCATACCCTCGCGCGGGGATCAAGGCCATCGCCTGCTGCTCATGCACTCTGCCAGCGACTTGGGGTAGCACTGGTCCCCGCGGGATCATGGCGTGAAGCCAGGTATCATCTTGTGTCTGCCAATTCATCTGCCGCTGCAACATCTCGGGGTGTGCACCATAGCCAGGTACCTGAGGGTACCCGCGCCTGTACATGTCCGAGTACATGTCATCTCGCACTTCTGGTCTCTTGAACGCCATAAAATTATCCTCGTATGGGTTATACTGCTGCACCTCGGGCCTCATTCGGCTCACCATTTGTTTTTGCCCCCTGGAGTACGTCTCGTGTGCCATCGCGGCCGGTAATGGACCCATCCTCTGGTCCATCCAGTACGGGACAGGCTCATACCTTCCATAGAAAACCTGCAAACACACATCCTCAACTTAATCAGCAACTCTAACCCAAGTGAGGCTGTTGCGTTTCGCAAGAGTGCTTATAAGCCATGCGACCTTGAGACATTCCCACCTCGCATAACAGGAAAGGAGAAACTTAATACGACTGAAACATGCACAGACCTCGTCCAAGGGCATGAGGTTGTAGCTGTTGTTGCCGCCATAGAAGGGCCTGGGGTCGTAGAAGTAACGTCCCGCCATTGCGACTGCTTCTTCTACTATAGTTCCTTACCTCTGAACTAGATGAGGAAACTTTTTCAAGTCCGCACGTTAAAGAATACTGCAAACCTCTACTAGATAGAACTCGTTTCGGGGACACTAAGCTGCCGCACTGCTAAGATGCTAACTCAATTGCTGCAGCTGAGATATTCAAAGGTGATCAGGAGGAGCATTCTGGTATCACGCTGTTACATAACTATTAGCAATGCTCAACCCAAATCCACTACTGACGCTTGGAATGTTCTAAGCCGTGACCAAATACCTCCCTACAACGTCATTCGTTAACAGTGCATAGCTGTCTGCCTATACAGATCTCCAGGTTAACCCATTGCAAGACAGGGATAAATGCAGAATATGGTGATTGCCACAAAAGAGATCAATCTATCTGTCGTCAACGCGACTAAAGAATCAACACGTGAGCACTACCAAAGCGAAGGAATGATCAGCCTCCACAGGCAACAATTACAACAAACCAGAAGGCGAATATTGTCAAGAACTGCAAACCACGGATAACCGAGATGCTGCAACTGGTATGATCCGATACTATTGATGCAAGGGAAACAGCAAAACTTGCTGAATGCTCACAAGCCAGGTCCAAGAATGATGATGATATGTTTTGTAAACATCAAAAGCTGTAGTTCTAGATCTTGGTCTTTCCCACTCACGCGAACACAATAACCCACAAAAGACGCAGCGACACTTGGACACAGATACACCCTCGACGCAGGAGGTGTGTGTAAGGGGAAGTGTTTGCCAGGACTTATATGGACTGATGAGGTCCATGACCAGAGACCCACGGGCACCGCATCAAACTCTTGAAAAGAAATATAGTAACTTCAATCGGATACCAGAATCTGAACTTCATTGTTTGTTATTTTTTACGATGTTGGATGCTTTTTATGTGCAGTCAGAAGACATTTGTCGATGGAACCAGGAATGATGTTGTTTTAGCCCAGATCACGCGGTCTTAAGTAAACGTCCAATTTGACCCCAGCACAGTTGATTCTCTGTTCAATTTCTTACAACCATAATGAATGTGATGTTCAGAGTACTAGGCTAGTGGAAGAAAGTGGGATTTTTTGCCATGGCCACTGTCAATCAGACTCTTGTACAGATCTAAATACTGTAGGAGAGAAATGGAAAAACTGCTTGCACTAGAATAGTGTAAGCCTAGACTAGGTCGCAACAGCACTCGAACTGATAGATCATTAGTTGGCACAGCTTCTCATTGTGTCAGGCAAGTTATCAATTCATTTCAATGACAACTTGACATGCCCCAAAAATGAAGGACAATGACAACGGCCTTTGAGCAAGAGAATTTTATTGTCTCTTGACAGGTGAATGGGGCAATTATTGCGGGAAATATCTTTTTGGTATGTGAAAAGAGGAGAGGGATTGCAAAAAGTAAGCATTGCATCTGCAATAAGTTTGTTTGAAAGAGTTCAGGTTGAAAAGGATGCAAGAGGGAGGATGCACATTGGTCAAACAGTGGAAAAAAATAAATAAAATAAATTATGCTGTGAGAGTGGGCAATACTGAGCCGAGCATGCAGCTTTCATGCACAGCAAACAAACAAGCACACCAACAGTTTGTTCCGTCTCAATGTGGATTCTTGAGCTTTCAGTGGAATCTACTGGTGCTTTATTCCAACCCTTTTTTCTTCTTTGTTTCATTCTCACTTTTTTAAGGGCAACCAACTTCTATACAACTTAAACAGGTTTTCAAGGTTGGAGGGCTTCCATTCCTGCCAAACCCAATTGTCCGTGTGCTCTACACAACTGATGAGTTTTAGTGGCTGAATATTCACTAACTGGATCGGATATGCTATGCAAAGTAATAGTTTTCGATTAAATTCATCCCTTGGCTGCTCCTGCATCATCCGCTGAACTCAACTTGTCCAGGGGACCCAAAAGACATAGCCTGGCTACAGGCTGCATTGACTGATTCTAAGCTCAGAAATCAACCATGACTATATCATTCAACCATGTGCAAAGTTAGTAAGAACTCAACTAGTACAGAGGAGGGCGGTGGCTTTGGCAGCACGTTCAGTTTTATACCCTTTTTTTTTTTGGGTATGGGTAAAGATTTTGGAACCTCTCATGTTGTGAACTTGGGCTTTGCTGTTCACTTTGTTGAATCAGAATGGCAAGCCCCACACAACCTATGATTGTGATTTCCTCATTGAAACTATAAGCTCATTAAAAGGAGTATCAGACCATGAGATTGGAAACTTCAAGCTTTTCAGAAAATGAGCATCGAATCAAGACAACAGGGTGGAAAAAATTGTTCAGAGTAAATGAAAAAGTAGATGTTTATGTGTGGATATGAATCAGAAGATTCAACCTCTGGGACTTGCCCTCTTCTCTAATTTCCCTCTCCCTTCATTTGTATGCCATTCCATAATGGAAATTTTGAAAAGATTCATCTTGACTAAGCAACCCATGCTAACAACGTCTCCCACATCAACCCTTTTTTAATTGGTACACATGAAACTGCTAGGAATAATCCTTCCACCCATTCTTACTATTAAAAACTCACGAAAATGTCCGAATTTAGGATTAAAACATCCATATTTTTCATAAAGGAGCCGACGATAAATTTGTCTAGGGGAAAGTTAAAGCCGAATGCGGAAACAATTTTCACTAGTTTGGAGGTATCAAAGATCACTAGTACAAAAACTCCTCTTTAGGTTTAACCGAAAAGATCAACTGAATTCAAAATACAAGCATACACACACACACACACACACATACGCATTGCAATGACGAAGGAAATAGACAAAGGACTATTATGTCTTCCACCAAATACTAGCATGGCTTAAGTTGATCGACAGAAGATTATTCATTGGTTTCCTTTTCAGGTTGCACAAGGGTTACTCAGATTCTGAGTCAGCTTCACTAAACTGGGGTCTCGATGGATACATCAACCTTCGGTGGAAGTCACACCGATCACACTTTGTTGCGACACTTTCACACAGAGTTCTGAAGTCCTGCGAGGATGCGAATAAGCTTGGTTAATGTTGCGAAACCCGAGAGTGTGCGTTGAAGCGGAAAAACCAATCATGGTCTCTTGTTGTTCGAGCCTTCCGATTATCTCGATCGGGTCTTGGCTGTCGAGATTCCCCATCAGAAACAGGGAAAATGAGAATGGCTCACAATCGCACCGACTGGTTTGGGCGGATTCAATTTTCTTCCTCGGAAGCGCTCTTCCCACTTTCCGAGACGAGAGGAATGGGGTTATCGACGCAGCTTCATGTGAGGCTAGACCACCGAGTTTCACGTGAGCGCCAAGCCATATTCGTTGCTTGAATTTGTCAATTAGCACCATAACGATGAGTCAGATTGTGGCCAGTTGTTTAGCGCCCATTCAAATCGGTTGATGATGACCAAGAGCAAGGCGTCTGCAGGGCACTGCATTGGGAACCCTAAAAGTTGGAGAAGGGAAAGGTTGTCACCACAACCCGGGCAACAGTTCTCAAGACACACCATGAGGAATCAAATCCCATATAAAACATGGGACGGCTGCCCCCCCACCTCACTTTCACTTATTCACGCCTGCCCTCGGTCGACACCACCAATCCTTCATCCATCCATCCCAGCGTCTTCACATCCATCTATATTTCTCCATCCAAGTGGACAGATAGAGAGGTCTAGTGCTACCTCTTCCTTCCCACTTGCAATGCACCCGGGAAGAGGACAGCAGGGCCCCACATCCCCCCCTGAAATCTCTTCGGGCAGCCGGCTTTATGTGCTGGCTCAGGGATATATAAGTCATCAATCATCCATCCACTGATTCCTGTCAGTGGGAATTACATTGGTGTCCAGTTGGGGACAACTATGAGAGCGGTGTATGCATTATATATAGTGGCATTGGGGGACACCTTTGCTGCTTTGGGAGTGTGTGTGCATGCCATGAATAGTGTTATTCTTTAGATTTTGCAATAAACCCACCTCAGAAGGTGGTTTTTTACAAATACAAAATTGAGAAACTTAACCAAAAGTTATTGAAAATAAGTACTATTCTTTATCTTTATCTTTAGTTTCAGATTAAACTTATAATTTCTTTGAATTTTTAGAATCAAAATATGAGCTCAAATACTTAGACTTACAATAACAACATTTTGGTCCATTTTCAAGGCTGCCTTTCACATTATACTATTACCAAAGTTCAAGGCTTCTAAAAAATAGTTTTCCATCATCAATTGCATGACTTTGATAGGACTTTTGTACCATAGCCTTTCAAAGTGGGCTTCTTGGTATAAGACATCTCAAAAATTACAAAATTATATTTTATCAGCATTGAAAAAAATATCAAACAAAATGATAAAAGAGAAGATATACTCAAAAAGTGATAAAATGTAACAAAGAATGTTACCATTGTGGTTACCATTAAGACTTTGTCATAGAACTAATTAAAATAAAATATTCTTTAATTTGTATTAATTTTTATATGTAATTATTTAGAGAAAAAAGAATAAAAGAATATTACATATATTTATTATCTATGTCATGAAAATATTTTATTAATATTAATTAAATTTACTTTAAAAAATATGTATATTACAGAATTTTAAACATTTAAAACAATAAAATAAATAGAAGAATATAAATTTCTTTACAACATGATTAAAAATATTGGTGATTGTAATTTTAATATGTAAGTTTCATGATCTTTTTTAATAAATTTTAAAGCTGGACTAAATTATTAACTATTAAATTTCACAATTAATAAGTTGAAGTTCGAAAAAAATAAGAATATATATTCTTTAAAATACATCAATTCATTGATTTTTTTATTTTTTATTTTATTAATTAAAACAAAAAAATCAGGATAAAACATCAATTGTTTTAAATATATTTGAGGCTATATATTTGTATATTGGATGCATGTGCATATATATATATATATATATATATATATATAATTTTTTTTAGAAAATTAACATTTATGATGAAAAAAAAAGAAAAGTAATAAAAAAATTATTTTCCAATTTAACTCAAGTATCTAATTTAGACTCTAGAAGCAAAACTTATATATTTCAAATAAAAAATGATAATAATAAAATCATTTTCAAATTTTAATTTCAAATTAATAATATTTTATTTTTTATTAATATACAATGAAAATAAAGATAACATTTTACTAAATTATAAATTGACTTAATATTATGTTAAAATTTTGAAATATGAATATTAAAATAAAATTAATTTAAAAAATACAATCTTATTAGATTAATTTTTTTTAGTATCAAGAATTAATCTATGTTTAATGTCATTATAAGCTTCTATTAATATATTAAAAATTTATGTATGAAATATTTGGTTAGTATTTTATTATACATATATATCATATATTAAATATCTATTATTATAATATAATGAAATAAGCTTAAAAATATTTTATTTTTAAAATATAAATTAATTAATATATATTTTTAAAAAATTATAGTTTTTTTAAAGATAAAATTAAATATTACATATTTTTTTATTTGAATCATTTTTGTATTCATAAATTATAATTGAATTTAAATAAATAAATAAAGAAATAAATATATATATATAGATATTATAATTTTAATAAAAATAAATTAATAATCTAATTTATTTTTTTCAATATAATTATTATTTTTAAATTTTTAATAATTGGAGTATTTACATTCTTTTATATAATTTTATTATTTCTTTTATTTCATATTTTTTATATGTGAATTAATTCGTTTATATATATATATATATTCATTAGATAAGGCAACATAAGTATAAGATAAAGAAACAAAAATCAATTTAGTTTAGTTGTTGAGAGGAGACTTTGATAACTCAAGGAACATGAAGCAGTTAGAGCCATGTGTATTTCTAAGAATCTAGT